TCTCACCTGTGTGAAACCAGGCTTCTTTAATCTGATTTCCTTGTGATTAATGATTAGCACTGAGCTTTTATCATCATTTCTCGATGTTTCCATCACAAATGATAACAATAATCATTATCACGCTTATATAATCAGCATCAACATTATCCTGATCCCTGCCTAAACCGTTACCCTAATTATCACCGTAAATCACAGAGCGAGCAGTGCTCAGCTTCATGAATTGCAAACCATCTCCGTTTCGCACGCACTTACATTTTGGCTGTCCTCGGGCTTCTCTGAAGCTGCTTTCCTTCTGGAGGAAAGAAGAAGCCTCAAGTGAGAAAAAGGAATTTCACTGAAATTCCAGAATGAACTAAACAAAAAACCTAAAGATTTCTGTGACCAGTGGTATCTAATATAGTAACAGTATATGAGTGAAAAAGACCTTTGGCCTGTATGGATCTGACCTTCGTGCCAACAGAGCATTCATCTCCTCCATCAGTCCTCCACTCCCCCCACTTGTTCGGTTAGCTTCATTTTTGGCACCTGAAGAGCTGTCATCAGGCTGAAGAAAGTAGAGGGAAAAAACGACAACTGTGCGTTACTCCCTGCTATGTGCAAATCATGAACATTTTGAAGTATGTCAGTGAAATCTGAAGGGGATAATCCAGCTATATCCCGCACGGTTTACAGAAATTTCATCCAAACATCATAAAGTGTCGCCTCACTCTTTGAACACGGCGTAGTTTGGCTCCAGCAATCATAGCCGCAAGACCTGTCGGCGCAGAGGTCTCATCCCCGTGGCTTCCTAAGGGCAGTGGAGGAGGGAGAGGAGGTTGCGGTGCCCCTGCTGATGGTGGCGGCGGGCCTGGCGGTGGTGGAGGAGGAGGTGGGCCGCCCATGTTCACCGGTGGAGGTGGGGCAACTGAGAGCACAGCAGGATGGCCTTGGAAAGGAGAACCTAGAAGAAAAGTGCAGCGAGTGATTGAAACGCAGTCGCGTTGTGCAATATTTATCCGCACTTACACCTGTGTGGGTTCAGATGCACTTAGGCGAAGACGCGGAGCATTTTTAGATTGAATGAAAGAACTATTTTTACCAGCTGAACTTTAGCTGACCCGTGCACTTCGTGTGAGTACCTGAGTTGGAGGACCGTCGCTCCCGCTCCATGTGCGCCTGCATCTGCTGCTGCTGTTGCTCCATCATTTGCCTGCAGAAACAGGAAGGATCACAGCTGCTCACTTAATATCAAACATGTCAAATCTTGTCCTAAAATCTGACAATTTACCCACCTAGAGAAAAAGTTCAGAAAACCATCGCACAGTAATAGACAGAGAAATGTCCACTTGCCTCAAAGATACGCTAGGATCGCCATTAGGTTTTGATTTCAAATGTTCCAACTGCTTGATCCAATATTTATCAGATATTAAAGCTCCACACATGTAACTAATCTTTTGGGTTATTTCTTCTTAAGTCATAATCATCGTTTGTGTCAGGTAGTTTCTGTCACAGCCCCTGGGTTTGGAGTTTGGTATTCTTCTATAACATTTAGATTACTATAGTTTCTTTTTTTAAAATTTATTTATAGTTTAGTTTCATGTTTGTTTCATTATCATTCCAGGATTTTGAGTTCCTATTAAGTTTTGTATTCTCATCTACATAATACGCGTTTTCTTGTTGGTTTCTACATGATGATGTTTAGTTTTTAAGGATACTTGGTGTTTAGCTATCGTTAAACTGGAAAGGTAGTTTCTGTTAGCGTTTAGAGTTTGTTGCTTATATCTGATTCCCTGTATTTTGGTTTATTTCTCCCGCCACCCCCAGTATTGCTGTGTGTGTGTGTGTGTGTGTATGAGTTAGTTAGTGGCTCAGTATTTAGTTAGTTTCTTCCTGGTTTACTTTGTTAGTTTGTGTCTCTTTTACTTCTTTTGTGTAATTACCTTGATTGGTTCCAGCCGTGTCTCATTAACCTGATGTGTCTGCTTCCTATGATTACATAATGTGTGTATAAATAGTCCTTCCCTGCCATTGAGTCTTTGCCAGTGTCTGTCTGTTTTCATTTGGTAACTCTGGGCGTAGGAAACGGTGCGTGGCCCAGGTGAGCTCTTTGGAATCACATCGGAAATGAGGCAAAACAACACAAAAAACAGTATAATTATTTGAAACATGTTTTTCTTTGGAGTTTTAACTAAAAGTCACTACCTCAATTGCTGTTGTTTAGTATAAAGTCTAATGAGACCACTGTACAAACTGCACTCAAGCTCTAGCAGATGGTGAGTTTTTCTCGCACGCTGTCACCGTGAGTCAGAGGTTTGAAATCACATCCCAACATGGTAACACTTAACAAAGATGGACACAAAAACCTGCTTGCTTACTAAAAAAATCGACTCAGAAATACCTGATTTTACAAATAACTTAATTGCTCTGCACTTTCCAGAGGAACAAATGAATTACTACTAAGCTTTCACTTTACTTGAGGTAATAGCGAGGTAATGAGGAACCACTGAGATCTGCTTAATAAGACACATGAATGGCTTTGTATTAGTTATTAATTAACGACTCATAAAGAAAGTGAAGAGCTATATTATATTGACAGATAATTATTAAATAATTATTACCCAGTGAGCCAGAATTATCTTCCAGCTGGGTCTTTAATAAATAATCATCTACTGTACAGCCCTTGATTAGGGCTAATTATGAAGGTGCTGATGAACGCCTCCCAGATCATTCCTGATTTGTTCTTCACCTGCTCTTTAGTAAGTAACCAAGTTTTTGTGTCTTATATCACACAGTGTGCTCATCTCCTGCTCCTCATTCATCCAAGCCAACATCCCTTTTCTCCTCGATCTTTATCCCTCCTATCTCATTACATCTCTGTCTTTGATTTGAGGAGATATGCGATGTGACATCTGAGGCAGCAACCTGTCTGATGTGACAGCAGCGCGCGCACAGCAGGAGCAGAGGTGCTTAGTAAACAACGGTTCTCTGAAATTAATTTGCTTCCGCTGACCAGCACGCAAACGCACTCAATCTCCCCTCGCAATCGCAGACATAATCCTTTGTGGCAGAGGAACAGTTCATCCGACGTGGGGATCAGACAGAGCCATAATTCCCTTCATATTTGTTCTCTTAAGTACTGGCATTCGGCATTTAGATGAACCAGCAGGCGGAGCTGAAATAAGTTTAAAAACAGCAACAAAGACCTCGTTGTGTCCGAGTCCGTCTCTGAAGTGGAGAGAGGAACAGCAGGCGCAGTGGAAGAAATGCAAGCCACAGTGTAACCCGTGGAAATGGCCTTAAGGGTCATTTTGAATACTGCTTATCCACTACTTTGTATATTTTAATCTGCCACTATGATTTAGAAAACGGGGACTACTTGTGTTTTAGCCATTACTGTAAAAGTTTCAGTCTTTATCATTGTGACCCACTGGAAGGTAGGAGGGATACAGAGGACAGTAAGAGGAGGGGAGGGATGAGTTTTGCTTCAGTTCACAAGAGACTGTGATCCTTCACTAAAAATCTTCTTCTCATGGATGACAAGATACTAATTTTCTCCCACTTTTTTGGCACCACAGTTCATTCAGAACATTTTTCTGATTGCAAAAGCTGCCAGACAAGGTGGGCTTAAAAATAAACAAATAAATAATCT